AACAACTAAAAAGATACATTCCTTCAGAACTTCCAATGAAGAGAGTCCATGAGTGGCTAAATCTGCAATGACATATCCCAAATAAGGCATCATCTGCCCATCAGCACATTCAATGTCAAGTTGTTCCTCTAATGGATAAAATGCTGTTCCATCTCGCAGATGTGTCTCAAAAAATGTTTGCGATATTGTGGAGACAGTAGCTCCAGTGTCCAATAATGCAGAACATGGAACTCCATTAATAGCCACTTGAACCTCATTTGATGTTCCTACTAATTCTTCCGATAAGTTGTTGGGACTGTTTCTTCTTCTGCCAGACCCTTGTCCCCAGGATTTGGCCATCTGTAGTTTAAAGATTCCTGACTCTGCAACCAATAGCTATATGTCCTTCTTGACCACATCTGTAACATACGACTTTATCAGATCTCCGATCCTGTTGCTGATTAGTCTTCTTAAAAGTAGTAAATCTGGGCTCAGGCATCCTAGGAGTGTAGCCTCTACTAGAATACTGTCCTCTTCTTCCTCTTTGAAAAGGCTGTCTGTTTCTGTTGTTATACGAACTATAGTTGGGTGGTTTATAATAAGGCTGCTGCTGCATTGCCTTCAGCTGGTTTATCTGAGCTTGCAAAGCTTCATATTTGTCGTCATCAACTGCAGTTTTTTCTGAGGAGATCCCTGATTTTACTATGGCTGGCTTTACTTTTGTTGATTTGGTCTGCCCTGGATGTTCTGTCTCGATCTTTCTCACTTCTACTCTTAATTTGTCAAAATCCTTAATTGAGTGAAATAAGTATCCAGAAATATCTTTTAAGTCTTGTCGCAGACCTTTATAAAACATTGTACGTAACATTTCATTTGCCGCATAGTTCTGGACCTTCCCCAACTTCATGGCAGTGTTCAGAATTTCCTCTAACCTGCAGCTCCAAGCTGAACAGGTCTCATCTTCCCGCTGTTTAGCACTGTAAAATTCGGCTAAAATGTCTTCTTTTTCCAGAACATTTCCATAAATGCTGTCTAACTTGGAAAGAATTTCTTCTACAGTGGCACCAACTCCTAATCTCATCACAACTTTGGCTGCCTCTCCTTTCACAGATCTCCTAATGGCTTGTAATAAGGATTCTTCTGAATGAACTTCCCTTATAAGACAGGTAACTTCATACTTCCACAGGTCATAGGAAGTTTCACCTTTTCCATCACCTGAGAACATGGATATCCGTAAAGGAGATTTCAGATAAACTTCTTTAGAAGATGATGATGCTGCAGCGACTGGTTCTTTGGATTTGGTCTCTGCAATAGAATGACTGGCTGCCCAAGTTACAAAACTTTCTGGATTGATCTTCATCTTTTGCAATGCCATCCAGAACTGTTTCATGTCTTCCTCTGACATTGTACTTTCTGCTGCCTCGGCTTTATGTCCTTTAGGTTCCATTTTAAATTCTGTCGTAATTGCTGGCTTCTCTTTGGGCCTAGCATCTAAAGGTTTCTCTGTTTTTGTTTCAGTTGTAGTCTCTGATTTGTCTGCTGTCTTAGCTTTTGCTTCGGACATGGTTGTATATACAGATCAATGGCAATAAAATATTATGTACAAATAAAATAATATACAATGCAATTTTCAGGAGGGTAGTTCTAACTGAACTATAAAGAACACAGGGCAATTTTAATGTAATGAATTTAAAAGAGGGAGTTCATAACTGAACTACTGAAAAGGGATTTTTTTTTAAGTAATGTATTTAAACAGGAGGGTAGCTCAATGCGCGAGCTAATTGCAAAGGGTAAGGTTATATGTACTTAACAAAAGTGAAAGTAGAATTGCACTTCCGGTATGAAGTTGCACTTCCGGTACTGCAGTTAAAGTTTAAAGGCAAAATTCAAAGTACAATATTTCTTGTGATACCCAATGTGTAACTACTACACTAATCTACATAATTACGAATGCTGTATGTCGATAATGATGATCTCTAAATAATGTTGTATTTTAACTAAAAAAAATAATCTGCTGAAAAATAAACAGTTGTAGAACGCTCTGTATCGAATATAAATGTCAAAATCAGCTGGTAACAAATTCAATGAACAAGAACTGAAAATAAACTGCATTTACGATCCAAAAATCTCCTGAAAAAGAATAAGGGTATCAGACTAACTATACTATACCTGATATTCAAAGTTAATAAGAAATAAACAACAAACACTGACGATATAAAACAAATTAAATCAAATTTTAACTTTTTGTTCACAAAATCACGTTTTCTAAAGTCGTTTCCGGTTAAAACGGATATCGAGCTCGATCGAAATTACGCAATCGGAAAAGTAGGCAGTGCTATAGAAAATAAACCGAACCCGATGATAAATAAATCAATACTTTAAGGGAAGTTTGGAGAAGATGACAGACAAAACGCTATACCATTATTCTAAAAAAAATATGAACTTAATGTAAAACAACTTTTCACTGTATCAACACCCACTGCACACTGGATCAGACGACAGACTCAAAATGAATAGGCTACACTTCAAAATACCATACTTGAGCACTAAATAAACTACTTGACCAACTGCAACAAATTAATTATCTGTCAAAGTGTCAAGATGTCCTTGTCAAAAGGGATAGATATTATTTACTACATTATTGTAAGTTCTGATTTAGTAAATCAAGGGTATCTGGGTACTTGGATGGTGCGCAATGTGCAATACCTCACTTACCCATACGTCTTCCTCTCCGGTACTTCAATTCTTCAAATAATATAACTTATATGTGGGTACCCAATAAAATAGCTAAACTATAGTAAACCTATATACACTTTGACAAATTGTTGATCAACACTATAACAGTACTGGCCAGCTATTAAAATAATATGATCTACCTCTAGTTAAACTAGAATATATACATGTATTGCTAGTTGCTTGAAAGCACTGTAAAAATTCTGTTCAAAAACTCACCGATCAGCTGATACTCCAATGTCACATAGCAAAAATATACAACAATCACAAAAAAATGATACTACTCACACAAGACATTAAGCTCACAGTTTGTCACAGTAATCACCGGCAATATATGTCCAAGTCAATGCGTTGGCCAATATAGTGGTAGAATTCACACGCACAGCTGTGTCTATTCAGGTGTAACAGATCACTGATTATCTAACTGGTCAACGGGAAAGTCGAACACTATTAGGAATGTGTCATCTGAAATGATGTTCAATCAGGAGAGGTCCCTACATGGGCGCCATTTTGTAACGGTGTCTTATTATAAATCTGGAGCATGGAAATATAATTAAGTCCGTTTCAGGGTTCTACTGACATCTCCATTTATTACATTTACAGATGAACACATAGAATAGTTGGAATAATGGAACAATGAAGGAATTTGGAATAATGCCCTGAAAAATCACAATAACAAATAATAAATACATAGCATAAAATATTCTGATATATCCGTATCAATATAGTAATTACAATCTGCGGTTAACAGATACACTGCATAAAGGGAGGTAACTCTGTACATGATTTACATACAATCAATGCCCCCTTTTAATATTACGCTTTGAAAAATATAAAAACATTAATATCATACCAATCTATGGGACTGAGCCTCTCCCATTCATTGTAGTCACAATATGGCTCACTGTACACGTATGTCCAGATCATAAAACTACAAATTATCATAGTTTACATAAGTAAACCTATCATCATAAAAACATCTAGTAGATATATATAAAATAAAAAATACTTTCAATAAAATAGCTACTCCTTAAATACTGTCTCTCAAATCAGATTCTGACCGTGCTAGTGCTATGGAATTAACTTTGGCAAAATTACAGATTTTACAGTTAAATCAAATATTAGAAATCATATTAAAATTAGTATATAAATGTTATCTTACCTTAATAGAGAAAAGTATTGTCTCTGTCAATGTCAGAAGGTCGTAATTATAAAACTTGGTAAATACAACCCTTTCTGGACAAATACTGGACAAAGAATGACCATAACAAACAACTTTTTGGAGGGAAAAATACTGAACCAATAAAACACAACCTTACAAAGTCCAAACCAATGAAAACAGTGAATACTTCAAACCAAAGACCAAAGACCAGAACCTTCATAACCCAAGGCAATAATAATTAAGTACAGGTACTGCCTGTTCTACTTGGGTGACCTTTAAAGATTTAATAATGCATTTATATTTACAATTTAAAAACATATGAAATACATTATAGATTTATTAAATAAATTAATAAATCTAATACTGTAACATAATGACGACCTAAGAAGCTTTTAATTACTACAGAAGAAGAAAAAAATTAAAAATATTACTAGATGTTTAGAATACAGGTGAAATTTTTTAAGCGGAAGCTTTTTGTTCGAATCCCCGGGTAGAACTAAACATACGAACAAACAGCTATTGGCTAACGAAAGACTCTGACACTGTACATCATCGATATAAGATTGCCTATTTAGTTGAATGATAGTGAGGGTACTGTCCAAAACTTCAGAAGGCCCCATGTGTGTGCGAGATTGGTTCCTCGACTGATTATGAAGGAATAAAGGGCAAACTCGAGTATGTGCTTCAATGAAATTCCCGATTTAAAGTGGGGCTCACACAACTTTTCTTTAGCAAAGAAGAAACTTGACCCTGTTTCAGATACTTTGACGTTATCATCTGTGCGGCGTTAAACGATACCACACATAATATAAAATCTCATATTTTTGTTAACTTGAGCATCTATCTTTTTCAAATTTGCTAGGTATATTGCTGAAAAGGTTACTAAAGTGAAGTAAAAATTTTTGAACGCAGTGATGATTATTTTTCACTCTAGACAACTTGTCCATGATTTTATCGGATAACCCTCGTAGTTATGTGGATTAATTATTACCTGTGAAAGGAAGATATGGTGAGATTGGAATGAGGTTGAAATAATAATCTGTGAAAAAAAAAATTAATTTTGTTCAACTGAAAATATATTTGGATGTTGAAAATGTAATAATATAATTATGTTCATGTATTACAGATGTAGACTGTTTCAATATTACCCCAACGAAAATTCCAGATACAACGGAAAATAATGAGAGAAAAGAACATGGTTCCAAGAATATTACGGAATCTCCAACAAGCAATGATTCTAGCCCAGACTCTGAACATGTGTTAAGAAGGTATATTTCGATTCTGTGTTGACATACTTTTAGCATTGATTTGTGAAATTATGAACGACATGAGTGTTTCCGCTACCTTTGCTTTCCATGAACTTTTTAGGTCACCTGAGTCACTCAGGTGACCTATTGCTATCTGTTTTCGTCCGTCGTCGTGCGTTAACTTTTGAACGTTTTTAACCTCTTCTCTAGAACCGCTCGACCAATTTCAACCTAATTTGGTATATAGCATCTATGGATGAAGGGGAACAAAAAATTGTGAATTTCATGGTCCCTGCCCCCCTGGGGCCTGAGGGGTGGGGCTAAAACCACCAAAAATAATGCAATCTTTAAAAATCTTCTTCTTTACTCCTGGACATCAAGCAGTCAAACTGTTGACATCATTGTAATAAGCATTGAGCCCCCTACCAAAATTGTGAAATTCATGGCCCCAGGGTCAGGGGTTCTGGCCCCAGGGTGGGGCTATATAGATCATATAGTGAAAGTGCATTATTTCTTTGAAAATCTTCTTCTCTGCTCCTGGGTATCAAATAAAGTTATTAAGTACATAGTTATGATGAGCAAGAGTGCCTCTTCCAAAATTGTGAAATTCATGGCCCCAGGGTCAGGGGTTCTGGTGTTAGGGCGGGGCTCTATTAATTATATAGTGAAAGTGCATTTATTTTTTGAAAATCTTCTTCTCTGCTTCTGGGTATTAAATAAAGGAAGTAAGTACATAGTTATGATGAGCAATAGTGCCTCTTCCAAAATTGTGAAATACATGGCCCCAGGGTCAGGGTTTCTAGTGTTAGGGCGGGGCTCTATAGATCATATAGTGAAAAAACATTAATTCTTGGAAAATCTTCTTCTTTGCTCCTGGGTATTAAAAAAAGTAACTAAGTACATAGTTATGATGAGCAAAAGTGCCTTTTGAAAAATTGTGAATTTCATGGCCCCAGGGTCAGGGGTTCTGGTGTTAAGGCGGGGCTCTATAGATTATATAGTGAAAAAGCATTAATTCTTTGAAAATCTTCTTCTTTGCTCCTGGGTATTAAATAAAGTAACTAAGTACATAGTTATGATGAGCAAAAGTGCCTTTTGAAAAATTGTGAATTTCATGGCCCCAGGGTCAGGGGTTCTGGTGTTAGGGCGGGGCTCTATTGATTGTATAGTGAAAAAGCATTAATTCTTGGAAAATCTTCTTCTCTGCTTCTGGATATTTAATAAAGTAACTAAGTACATAGTTATGATGAGCAAGAGTACCTCTTCCAAAATTGTGAATTTCATGGCCCCAGGGTCAGGGGTTCTGGTGTTAGGGCGGGGCTCTATCGACTATATAGTGAAAATGCATTAATTCTTTGAAAATCTTCTCCTCTGCTCCTGGGCATTAAGGTGATAAACTAAGTACATAGTTATGATGAGGAGGTGGGCCTCTTCCAGAATTGTGAAAGCCATGGCCCCTGGGTCAGAGGTTCTGGTGTTAGGGTGGGGCTCTATTGATTATATAGTGAAAATGCTTTAATTCTTTGAAAATCTTCTTCTCTGCTCCTGGAGCCCGTTTCATCAAAGGTCGTACGTCCAGTCGTAGCGCTACGCCGGCGTAAAGCTGGGACTAGCACAAAGATTTGCGTTTCATTAAATAGCGTATCTTTACACCGGACAAATGTTAGGCCAAAATTTTATGTCGGCGTAAATTCCGGCATAAACATAAAATAAAGCGATTTTACTGATCTGAAAACGATTTAGCCATTCCTTTAGAAGAATTACGGTTCTAAGAAGTCTTTATAATTAAACGATGCATTATTTAATTTCACAAACTATGAAGATTTTTCGGGGGGGGGGGGGGGTTTACACCCACTCGGGGAGGTAGTTGACATGCGGTATTTAGCTACATAACTTACTTTAATAAATTTCTTCATAAAAGATTGCCTTATTAGGGATTCATTTTAACACCATCTCTTAAGTTTTGACAATCCTGCAGTTATATCCGTTTGATTGTTGTATTTTGTAAATCGACTATACAATACACATTTTGTTGTCATAATTTTGACATAAAAGCTATTTTTTCTGACATATTTTTCGGGGGGGGGGGGGGGAGTAATTTTTCCACAAAAGCACAGTTATCTTCTTTATCTTTGGTTAATATCTATATTTAAAAAAATATAATTTTTAGCTCATCGTAAAACCAAGTAGGCTTTTTTTTTTTTTTGAAAAATAACTTGCTCGAAAACTTCATTATGATTTAAGGTTGTCAACAAGTTTCTCAGATGGAATTTTTGTTTACTGATGACCCTGCCCCCCTTTAAAAAAATCACGGACCCGCACCTGTGTCCAGAAAAAAGTTGTTAACGTTCAAAAGACGAAAAAAAATCCAGCTGATTTCGTAAATATACTTAAAAGTCAGTATATCCTGATATTGAATACTAATTAAAGAGGATTTTACCTTAGGGACAAGGGGCAGCAGAATCACTCGAAAGCTTCTGAGAATCAGCTGTCAGATCTAGAGAAACTTGACTCAGAAACGACTGTAATTTTACAATTATAACACCCATGGATGACATATTAATAATGTTTTAAGAAATGATTGATAAATTTCTAAAAATATTTTAAAATGAATACTTGCCTTTATCGAGAAAAATAAAAAGAATCCGCAGTTTTAAAAATAAATACTACATTTTTTAGGAATAAACTGAATGGCGTACAAGGTAATGTCATACAAGAAATTTATTTTTTCATGATGATGCATATTTTGTTTTATGTTATCGATTCTTAATAATTTACTAGTCCATCTTATGCCCATTTACATATATACATATATTCAAGTGCATAAAATTGTAACAGATTCTCTCTCTCCCCCTCCCTCTCTCTCTCTTCCTGTATCAAAAAGGGGGTGGGGATAATATAAACATTCCAAAATAAATATTTTCTTTCCATTCATTTACAAGAACATTTATTTCTTTTCTCAGACCTTAAATTTTGAAGGTTAATCGGATGGTGTGTTGTAAGAATTTAATATTTTATAATAATTTGATTAAGGTGCATGTCTTCTACAAGGTCCCTAAAAATTCATTTAATTTTTCATTAAAGTTTATGTATATATGCATTGTACACAATACGTATGTTTATGTTTTTTTGCGCATGTGCAATGCAGCGTTGTCAAGGACTTAGTCCTGAGCCTAAGCGTATAGTTTACGACTAGATCTACGCCACTTCGTGAAACGCAAATTACGCCCGATTAAATTTTGGCGTAAGCCCCGGAAGTACATCTACGTTAAGGCTTATATTTTCGACTTTTGATTAAACGGGCCCCTGGGTATTATTTAAACAAAGTAAGTGCATGGCTATGATGCATAAGGATGCCTTTTCAAAAATTATGAATTTCATGGCCCCAGGGTTAGGGGTTCTGGTGTTAGGGTGGGGCTCTATTGATTATATAGTGAAAATGCATTGATTCTTTGAAAATCTTCTTCTCTGCTACTGGAGATTATTTAAACAAACTAAGTGCATGATTATGATAGACAAGGATGCCTCTTCCAATTTTTTTAAATAATGGCCTCAGTTTTGGGGGTTCTTGAGGAAGGGGGGGGGGGGCTCTATTGATTATATAATGAAAAAGCATTAATTCTATTAATTAATTAATCCTGTCTGCTCCATAGTGTTGAGCTGATAAATAAATTGCTTAGCTATGATGAAAATGGGAGCTTCGAACAGAATTTTTAAATCTTGTGGTCCTAGGGTCAGGGGTTCTGGCATAACAAGGAGGGGGGGCTTTTGATAATATAGTGGAAAAGTGTTAATTCTTTGAATTCCATAGTTATGATGATGAGGGTAACTCTTCCAAATTTGTAAATTTCTTGACCCTTGGTCTTGGGTTCTGGTGTTAGGGTAAGGCTTTGTTGAATCTGTAGTGAAAATACATTGTAACTGTGAAATTCTTCTCTGCTTCTGGGCATATCGGAAGCAAACTGAGTAAAAGTTTAAATGATATGAGTAAGCGTATTTCTACCAGATTTTTATACATCTGGACCATTCGTCTAAGCATTCTGGTCCTGGGCAGGGATCTATTAATTTGTATTCTGCTGAGAGAAGTTATTCCCCTTTTCCATTCACCTTTGATAATTAATCACTGTAAATAATGTATTTGAAAGGTTAATAGAATAAGATAATTATGCAAGAATGTTTATCGTACTTTCTTAAAGTACTTTCTTAGTTTTAATAATCAGGTAGACCTGTAAGTAATAGATAAATAAAAATGAGACAAAAATAACTTATCTTATTAAAAGTTTTTCAAAGACCATAAGAGAGGTCAATGCTAGAGATCTTAATATGGGTTTAAAAATAGTACAGAAGCACTAATAGTTTGTTAATAGTCTGCATGGTGATAGTGTTAAGTAAGGGACAGATTAGAACTTAATTTATGAGTTGATACTGAATACTAGACTAATTATTTTGTTGATCCTGATCTTCCTACTTCTCTTGCTTTAGGGCAACAATGTTTCATCTATCAGTATATTTAACTTCTAAATTGTTGTATTATACTCAGGTGACCGTTAAGGCCCTTGGACCTCTTGTTAAAAAATATTTTCAACTTTTTTATATTTTAACTCAATGTTTCAATTAAATCTGCCAAAAGACATATCTTGATCAAAGAGGTTAAAACGTTTAATTAGGAAGGACCACTCTGAACCACAGTACCAGAATAAGCATAAGCTAAGTATAAGTTGCTCATATATGTACAGATGTACTAAAGGAATACAGGGCTTATTCAATTGATGTTTAGGAGGCCAAGAGGCACCAAATTATCGCACGAATTTTCGTTTCCCCCAAACCTTGACGAATGACTCAAATTTCCTGATTTAATAATTTGAATATTTTTAAGTAAAATACATAACTTATAGTTCGATTTATGTCCAATTCAAGCTCAATTAATGGATTGGACCAAAACGTCTCAAATTAAAGCTTAACATTGTAACATAAATTATATTTAGAAATATCCAATACTGAATGAGTAATCCTCTTAAGAG